GGGGGGTGTCACATCCCGGGGGAAAAGGGGGGGCACCCTGGGGGGGTGCCACACCTCGGGGGACACAGAAGCCACCGGGGGACAGCGTGGAGGGGTGTGACACCCCGGGGGCGGGGGGGGGCGGTGACACCCCCGGGGGGCAGAGAGGGACCCTGGGGGGGGTGTCCCACCCCGGGGGCGGTGGGGGGGGCAGAGACACCCCCGGGGATCCCCTCTCACCTCGTAGATGTTGGGGGGACTCCGGCCCCGCGCCAGCTCCCGCAGGCTCGTGCGGAACTCCCCGATGAAGTCGTGGCTGCGGGACGGGGGGGCTGTCAGCCGGGGGGGGACCCAGCACCCGAGGGGTCCCCAGCACCCGGGGGGGTCCTGTCATCCAGAGGGGGCAGGGCCGCGGGGGTCCCCCTCTCACGGGGGGTCCCCAGCACCCGGGGGGTCCCCAGCACACAGCGCGGTGCCCCTCAGCCGGGGGGTCCCTGTCACTCGGGGGGGGCACAATCCAGGGGGTGCTCCATCAGCCGGAGGAACCCCAAACACCGGGGGAGGCCGGGCCAGGGGGTCCCCGTCAGTGTGGGGGGGTCGCAATAACCCCCGGGGGTGGGACAGGGGAACCCCCGTCACCTGGGGGGTCCCAGCACCCGGGGGGTCCCCATCGCGGGGCCGGGTGCCTGGCACCCGGGGCTCCCCACTGCCCGGGGGATCCCCATCGCCTGGGGGGGTCCCCATTACTCGGGGGGTCCCCATCGCCCGAGGGACACTCCCCATCACTCAGAGGGTCCCTGTCACCCGGGGGGGGGGGATTGGGGGAATGGTCCATTACTGGTGGGGTCCCCGTCAACCCAGGGGGCCCCCATCAGCCAGGGGGTGCGGGGTCGGGGGGTTCTCCATCAGCCGGGGAGGGTCCCCATTACTGGGGGGTCTCCATTACTGGGGAGTCCCTATCACCCGGGGGGGGCGGGGCCAGTGGCTCCCCGTCACCCAGGGGAGTCCCCATCAACCGGGGGGGTCCTCATCACCTGGTGGGGTCCCTATTAATGAGGGAGTCGCCATCACCTGAGAGGGTCCCATCACCGGGGGGTCCCATTCCCAGTGTGGTTCCCATAACCGGTAGGGGGTGCAGGACCAGGGTATCCACATTACTGGGGGTCCCCATTACTGGGGGGGTCCCCATCACCCGGGGGTCGCCAGGCCCCCCCCTCACCTGCCGTCCCGGTCCCAGTCGTACACCTCCACCTTGATGGCCCTGCAAGGTGAGGGGGGTCATCATCCCCCCCCGACCCCTCCAACCTCCCCCCAGACCCCTCCGGGGCCCATCCCCCCCTCCGCTCCCCCCGGGACTTGTTTTGACGCCTCCGCGGGTTTTTCCTCCTTCCTCCTCCTCCTCCTTCTCTTCCTCCTCCTCCCGGGGTATTTTTATCTCTCGTTGCCATAGAAACGCCCGACACGGATCCCAAAAACCAGCGTGAGGAGCGGTGTGCCAGCGCAGCGGCTGGGGGGGG